CAAAGCAGGTCCTGCGATTGAAGCCAATAGGTTAATTTATGAATATGAGCTGACCAATAATAGTACAAAAAATTGGGTAAAGAAAAACCACCACTAAATGTAAACTTTTGTAATAATGACTTACTTACCCTGGGGGCCCTACCCTCCCACAAAAAGGAAGTTATAAGCTGATCCAATATTCTGAAAAATGATTTGGGCAAAAAGACAGGAATGCATTGAAAAAGACCTATTAATGATAAAGGCAGGGAACTCCATCTTTGAAAGTCTGACTTAATTTGAACAATCATTATGCTGTATATGAAGAGGAAAGTGTACGGGTCACGTTGACTCCTAAATATTTAAATCCTGAAGGGCTAAGTCTAAAAGGAATATCAGTCTGTTTAAGTTCTAATGCCAACGAGTTTATAGGGTAACATTCACTTTTAAGAAGATTCACTTTATAACCTGAAAAAGAACCAAATCTTTTCAGTAATGATATAATTGGGGGAATACTAGACATGGGATCAGACACATATAAAAGCAAATCATCTGCATAAAGTGACAATTTCAAAGTAACGTCAGACGGTGAGATACCTTTGAACTGAGTCAGTGAGCGCAAGGCTAATGATAAAGGTTCAATAGCTAAGGCAAAAAGCAATGGAGATAGAGGACATCCTTGCCGTGTACCTCTTAATAAAGGAAAGTATGGAGATGTAACATCATTTGTATGGACACTGGCCTGGGGCGAATTATATAACAACTGAATCCATGAAATGAACCGTTTTCCAAAACCAAATTTGTTTAGGACAGCAAAAAGGTAGCGCCACTTCACACGATCAAACGCCTTCTCAGCGTCAAGCGAAATAACAACTTCTGGACAGGTGGTAGAGTGATGAGATAAAGTAACATTTAAAAGTGTACGGACATTATAAAACAACTGACGACCTTTAATGAAGCCATTTTGTTCTTCTGAAATAACAGAAGGAAGAATTTTTTCAAGGCGGTTTGCCAACACTTTGGCCAGGATTTTCACATCAACATTAAGTAAGGAAATAGGCCTATACGAGGCACAAGAAGTGGGGTCCTTGTCTTTCTTCAAAAGAACAGTAATGACTGACTGAGAAAGTGTAGGAGGCAATCTGCCTTCCTCAAGAGATTCATTATAGACCAGAAGAAGTAATGGCACTATTTTATCAGTAAACTTTTTAAAAAACTCCACTGAAAACCCATCCGGGCCTGGTGCCTTGCCATTGTGCATTGTTTTGATAGCATATAAAATTTCCTCAATTTGAAGGGGCTTATCTAACTGTTCAGCCACAGTGGGGTCCACAGTAGGAGCAACAAGGTTGTCAAGAAAAGCAGAAAGTTCTGAGGGAATTGCTGTGGATTCAGACTGGTATAAAGAAAAATAATACTCTTTAAAAACTTCATTTACTGCTTTTGGATCAGAAACCAAATTATTTGTTTTGTCTTTAATTTGAGATATAAATCTAGATGCTGCTTGACGCTTTAACTGATGGGCCAAAAGTCTACTTGGTTTATCACCATGTTCATAATAAGTTGCACGCGAACGGAGTAAAAGTCGTTCAGCATCAGAAGTAGAGAGTAAATCAAATTCAGTTTTAAGATCAAGTCGCTGTTTATGCAGATCGGGAGAGGGATTATCACCAATCTGTTTATCTATATACCCAATTTTTGTTAATAACTCCTGAAGTTTTGCCCTATGACCCTTATTAAAATGAGCAGAAAAGGAGATGATTTGTCCACGCAAATATGCCTTCATAGACTCCCACAGCAGCGAGCAAGATACTGAATCCCTTTTGTTAAAAGTTATGTATTCATCAATTTGAGATTTAATAAAATCATTAAATTCCTCATTCAACAACAATAAAGAATTAAACCTCCAGGGCGAGGAGAAAATAGGTTTGTTTGATAGTGCAATATTAACACTAAGTGGTGCATGGTCAGAAATCACAATTGGGTGGTATTCTGATGAGACTACTTTAGAAGTAAGTGAACCATCTACAAAAAAATAATCAATGCGTGAAAATGACTGATGTACTTGAGAAAAGAAAGAATATGCTTTGGCATTTGGATTATAGAACCTCCACGGATCAACTAGTCCATTTTGTGAAAGAAAATCGGAGATAGTTTTAGACATGGCAGACTGAACTGTAGTTTTGGGGTTTGAACGGTCCAATATGGGATCAATAACACAATTAAAATCCCCAGCTAATATTAACAGGTGAGTATCCAGGGAAGGGATGCCACCCAACAGCCTATGCATAAAACCTGAATCATCGAAACTGGGGGCATAAACGTTGACCAACAATATTGGATTATTACACATTGTGCCGACAACAATTAAGTATCTCCCATTTTTATCAACCATTACTTTTGACATGGGAACTGTATTCTTTTGTTTATTAGAATAGCCACTCCTCTGGCCTTAGTATTAAATGAAGAGTGGAAGACATGTCCTGCCCATGAACAACTGAGCCTGACACGATCTCTGTCTCGTAAATGAGTTTCTTGGAGAAATATGACGTCACTTTTGAGGCGTTTTAGATGTGAAAAATTTTTGAACGTTTAATAGGGCCGTTTAAACCTTTTACATTCCAAGTCAAAAATCTAATTTTTAATCTTTTTATCGACTTTACATTTTGACTTGGAGCACAAGCCGTCTAGCCCCCACTGCAAGCTTTATATAATGCCCCCACAGAAAGAAGGGAGAAAGAGAAGAGAGAAAAGAAAAAGGAGACAGAAAAGGGGGAATAAAGAGAACAAAGTAAAATAACATGGCATGTTGCACACCAAACAAAACCCCGCCCCCTCACCCCTCCCTCCCGCACAGCAAAAGTCCCTATCCCCAAACGATAGCGACGGCAGTGCACGCTCCCAAACGGAGCAATCAAAACAAAAACGCTCACGACTGTGATGTTAACTAACTAACTAAACATAATGGCTCCTACTCTAATAACTGGAAAACATCTGGCACAGGTAAAGTAAGTATAAAAACAAAAAGTATTATCTAAGTGGTTCAGTTACAATATAAAATCTGAGGCACCACTTACCCTACAGCGGCATTAATAAACAATAATATTAGTGTCCGTGGGCATTCTATTTTGTTATAGTCTTAACATACAGTTTTGCCTCCTCCGGAGAAGTGAAGTCGCGGTGTATTCCCTCATAGGTGATGCGTAACTTGGCCGGGTGGAGAATGCCGTAACGGACTCCCTGGATGTCCCGTAACTGGCGGCGCACCTCATTAAACGCTGCACGGGCTCTAGCGGTTTTTGTGGTGTAGTCCGGGAACAATGAGATGTTCATGTCTCTTATTGCGATACGCTGCAGTTCCCTGGCCCTCCGGAGGATATTGGCACAGTCCGAGTAGTAATGTAGCCTGGCTACTGTAGCGCGAGGACGTCCGCCGGGATGAAGGTTCGCGGTCCGGTGTGCGCGATCCACAAGTGGTTCCTTCTTGAGTGCAAAGGCTTCCATCAAAAGTGATGATACATACTCACAAGATAGCGTTTGGTTCTCGGGCACACCGACAATGCGCACATTATTACGGCGGGATCTGGACTCCAAATCCTCACACCTATTCTCCAGTCTCTCTAAATCTTTGGCCATGATCTCCACCTTGGCACGAAGATTCACCATGTCATCCGTATACGTGGAAAGCGATTGCTCCACCTCGACAACAGTGTACCTGAGCCCCGCGACATCTTGTTTTACTTTGTCAACTTCGGCGGAGAGTTCAGTCTTAAGCACACGCAGCTCGTTTCTTACTGATATCAAGTGCGCATCAAAAGCCTCTTGCGGTTCGGTTTTAAAAAGTGTCTTCATCTCTTCCCGAAAAGCATCCAGATGTTCAGTCTTCAAAACAGTTGCCTCTGGCACAGCTGGCTGTTTTTCGAGCGCCTCGGGCGCCTCGGACATGCTAGGCGGCGGGGATGCGATGCTAGTAGTAGGCCCCGACTGAGGAGGCGAAGGGACATTCGCATTTCTACCCTTGCGCGACATCTTGATCAGCAAAAACGAGAAAAATACAAACCTTAAGTTTAGATATACTTGAAACTCAAGTATTGGGAGTTGGAAAAGTGTGCCAAACTAATGGATAATAACAATCTATGCAGGAGCCGTTCCGCACGTCCTACTCCATGTTAAGCCAAGCCGGAAGTCCGGGAGTGTTTTCTCTTTGTGTTTCTGTTTTATTTTGTCTCTTGGTCGTCAGTGTAAATGAGAAAGTCTCAACTGACTCACCTGCTAAAATATTGAATTTAAAAAAAAAAAAAAAAAAAAAAACAACTATGGAGGAATAAAATTTCGTTTTTCAAAAATTTCTGAAATTTTTCCACAAAATTTCATTTTGACATCCTGATCCAACAGTCAGTGACACCCATGTTCTATTTTTACGGCGTTGCCATAGCGATGACATAAACTCTTTTTATTCCTTTGGTAAAATGGACAGATCACACAAACTGTGGGAGCAGTAGCGCCCCCTGGACAATCTGTACACAACAATCATTTTATTTGTCATTGATACACAACATTTGTGACATGATCTCGATTAAAAAATGATGCCCACATTTACATTGTGTTGCCATGGCAACGGGCAAAATTCTGTCCTTCCAATGTGACGTCCAAACACAAACTTTGACGTAGCCAAAACAAATTTGGTACCAGATGCATCATGGGAATAAGAACAAAAATGTAAATTGGTCACAATTTACAAACTGGAAGTCCACCATCTTGGATTTTTTATTTTTTTTTTTTTTTTTTAATAAGCCTGTGTTAAAATTTAGAAAAATGGCAGAGTTTGGGGTCTGGGGTTGGACTAGAGTTGGATTTAAGTTTAGGTTTATGTTTAGTTTTATATTTAGTTTTAGGCGTCGCCGTAGTAACAGACTCATGTTCGTGCAGAAGCTCCTGAGCGTGTGCAGGTCACGTTCACACTCAGACTCGGACTCGACTCTCCCTGTGGCAGAGTGGTGAGCCTGTTCTCCTGAGGTCAGAGGTCAGATGTTCTTAGGAGCCAGCAGGCCTTTGCACACGGCCCTGAGCTGGCTCATGTTGAGTCCGTAGAGCAGAGCGTTGAGAAGAGGAGGCCCGACCACGATGTACAGGCTGAGGAAGACCTGAAAGACCCTCGAGATGTTCTGGATGTCGAACTTGGTCTGGCTCTCCTCCAGGAACAGGCCGAGGCCGTAGTTGGTGAGCGAGGCCAGGTGCGGCGCGCAGGTGCTCACCGCCTTCTGCCGCGTCTGCCTGGAGCCGCGGAAACACACCATCAGGATGCGCACGTACGTGAAGACGATGAACGCCACCATGCCCAGGAGCGCCGTCGACATGTACAGCAGCTCCACCACTTTGATGCTGGGACCCACGAAGGCGTCGTCCGCGCACACCAGGCTGCCCAGGTCGTAGTAGTTACAGTAGATCTTGTGGATGCGGCTCCGGCAGAACTTCACCGAGGTCACCAGCGTCGCCACGAACGCCCCGAGGCTCAGGCTGTTGCCCCACACCAGCGCCAGCACCGTGCCCACCGCCCGCGGGCACAGCCTCCGCCTGTAGCTCAGCGGGAAGCAGATGGCCACGTAGCGGTCGTACGCCATCGCCGCCAGGTTGAAGAACTCCACGCTGCTGTAGGTGTACATGAGGAACATCTGGAGCCCGCAGGAGGTCAGGGACACGCGGTGAGTCCGGCTCGACAGCTGAGGCAGGAGGAAGGGCAGCAGAGACGACCCGCCCACCAGCCCGTTCACGAACAGGCTGCACATGAACACGTAGACGGGCGCGTGCAGCGAGGCGTGCGCCGCGATCACCGCCACCAGGAAAACGTTCACCGCCACGATGCCCACAAACAACAACAAGACCAACACGAAGAAGAGCGGCGCCAACGGGCCGGCGAACACGCTGTCCAGGACCAGAGACGAGACCGACGACACGTTTGACCCGATGTCCGGAGACGAGACCGACGACACGTTTGACCCGATGTCCAGGACCAGAGACGAGACCGACGACACGTTTGACCCGATGTCCAGGACCAGAGACGAGACCGACGACACGTTTGACCCGGTGTCCAGGACCGGAGACGAGACCGACGACACGTTTGACCCGGTGTCCAGGACCAGAGACGAGACCGACGACACGTTTGACCCGGTGTCCAGTCGAGTTGATGTCTCCATCGAGGTGATGTGCCCAGATGTGCCGCTGGTTTGTAGCCGGGTCAGTTCTAACGGGTCAGGTGCATAGTTACTGATGCGTTTGACCCGGTGTCCAGGACCAGGACCAGGTTCACTCTCAGTCCTGGTTCAGATCTGGTCTGGTCCAGGTTTAACCCAGAGACACAAAAACTGAAACATTTTCCAGTCCATGTACCAAAGTAACAAGAAACCAGGACTAAACCAGAACTACAAAAGGTCTAAACCAGGTCTAAACCAAGACTAAACCAGGGCTAAATCAGGACTAAACCAGGCCTACACCAGGTCTAAACTAGTCTAGGGTCTAGACCAGGTCTAAACCAGATGTAAACCAGGTCAAAAAGGACTAAACAAAGACTAAATCAAGATTAAACTAGTTTAGAGTCTAGATCAGAACTAAACAAAGACTAAACGAGGACTAAATCAGGACTAAACCAGGTCTAGACCAGGTCTAGACCAGGTCTAGACCCGTCTCGAGTCCAGTCCTGCTCGTCAGTGTTGACACAGAAACATTAAAAACGTTTCACATTAAAATCATCATCCATAAAAAGTACATTTGTTTTCTGAAAATGTTCTGAACAAATCCGACAATTTTGTGAAATAAAAAAGCAGCAAACGACAAAACCTGAAGAAGAATTAACCACAACATTTAACAGAATTTTACTAAACATTAAATCAAACAAGAACGAGCCCAAATCAACTCAGGTCACACGAAGCAACAGCTCAGGTCACACGAAGCAACAGCTCAGGTCACACAAAGCAACAGCTCAGGTCAGGGTCGGGGTTAAAGGTCGGGGTCAGGATGGGTGGATTTGTTTAAACAGAGACAGTTTTAGAGTTGAAGTTCTTTCTCTTTAAATGTTTCATCTCATTTTTCCTGAAGATCTCAAACAGGATTTAAATCTGTTCAGATCGTCTCATGGTTCACGTCGCGCAGATCAGATGTTTGGTTTTTTTTTGTCGTCCCGAGAGTCAAAAAACAAACAGGAAAACACTCGTTTAAATCTAAATCTCCTTTGATTGAAACGATCTTCCCTCATTGATTCGAAGAACTAAACCAGGACTAAAACAGGTCTAAACCAGGTCTAAAACCAGGATTAAAACAGGACTAAAACAGGACTACATCAGGACTATCACAGTTTTTGATAAATCTGATCGTGTACAACAATAAACAGGAGCATAAATCGTCATTTGTTTGACCAAAAAACACAAATCTGTGTTTGTGAACAATCATAAAGAATAAAAACGTCTCTCGGATCATGAGACGAGAATCCACGACCGACTCACTCTGTCCAGTTTTACTTTAACAAACATCAAACCTCCAGTGTCTCAGTTTAGAATTTTTAAATTCTGTTCCCCAGAGTCACAAAAACACAAACACAAAACTTTGAAACGAACGATTCAAGAAATTCAAGAGTGAAAATGTTTGGAGAAAAATCCCAGAGAAAAACAAAAGTTAAAAACTCTGGAAGCAAAGACCCACACGGTCCAAGTCCAGGTCCAGGTCTGGTCCGGGTCTGGTCCGGGTCTGGTCCAAGTCTGGTCCAGGTTTAGTCCAGGTCTTTTAAACTTTCCTAACGCCCACAGACGATGACCTCACTCTCACACTGTGCTGTGATTGGTCGACTGGGAGCTGCGATCGAGCTCTGTGATTGGCCGCTGAGATCAGGCTCCGAACCAGAACTAAACCAGGAACCAGACTAAACCAGAAACCAGGACTAAACCAGACAAACCAGGACTAAACCAGAACTAAACCAGGACTAAACCAGGAAACCAAACTAAACCAGAACTAAACCAGGACTAAACCAGAACTAAACCAGAAACTAAACCAGGAACTAAACCAGAACTAAACCAGAACTAAACCAGGACTAAACCAGAACTAAACCAGGACTAAACCAGACTAAACCAGAACTAAACCAGAACTAAACCAGAACTAAAACCAGGACTAAACCAGACTAACCAGAACTAAACCAGAACTAAACCAGAACTAAACCAGGACTAAACCAGAACTAAACCAGGACTAAACCAGACTAAACCAGGAACTAAACCAGAACTAAACCAGGACTAAACCAGAACTAAACCAGGACTAAACCAGAACTAAACCAGGACTAAACCAGAACTAAACCAGAACTAAACCAGAACTAAACCAGAACTAAACCAGGACTAAACCAGAACTAAACCAACTAAACCAGAACTAAACCAGGACTAAACCAGAACTAACCAGGACTAAACCAGAACTAAACCAGGACTAAACCAGGACTAAACCAGAACTAAACCAGAACTAAACCAGGACTAAACCAGGACTAAACCAGAACTAAACCAGGACTAAACCAGAACTAAACCAGGACTAAACCAGAACTAAACCAAACTAAACCAGGACTAAACCAGGACTAAACCAGAACTAAACCAGAACTAAACCAGGACTAAAACCAGAACTAAACCAGGACTAAACCAGAACTAAACCAGGACTAAACCAGGACTAAACCAGAACTAAACCAGGAACTAAACCAGGACTAAACAGAACTAAACCAGAACTAAACCAGGACTAAACCAGACTAAACCAGGACTAAACCAGAACTAAACCAGGACTAAACCAGAACTAAACCAGGACTAAACCAGGACTAAACCAGAACTAAACCAGAACTAAACCAGAACTAAACCAGGACTAAACCACCAGAACTAAAACCAGAAACTAAACCAGAACTAAACCAGGACTAAACCAGAACTAAACCAAGGACTAAACCAGGACTAAACCAGAACTAAACCAGGACTAAACCAGAACTAAACCAGGACTAAACTAAACCAGAACTAAACCAGAACTAAACCAGAACTAAACCAGGACTAAACCAGAACTAAACCAGACTAAACCAGAACTAAACCAGGACTAAACCAGAACTAAACCAGGACTAAACCAGAACTAACCAGGACTAAACCAGGACTAAAACCAGAACTAAACCAGACTAAACCAGACTAAACCAGAACTAAACCAGGACTAAACCAGAACTAAACCAGGACTAAACCAAAGAAACCAGGACTAAACCAGACTAAACCAGGACTAAACCAGGACTAAACTAAACCAGGACTAAACCAGGACTAAACCAGACTAAACCAGAACTAAACCAGGACTAAACCAGAACTAAACCAGGACTAAACAGAACTAAACCAGGACTAAACCAGGACTAAACCAGACTAAACCAGAACTAAACCAGGACTAAACCAGAACTAAACAGACTAAACCAGACTAAACCCAGAAACTAAACCAGGACTAAACCAGAGACTAAACCAGAACTAAAACTAAACCAGAACTAAACCAGGACTAAACCAGGACTAAACCAGGAACTAAACCAGAACTAAACCAGGACTAAACCAGGACTAAACCAGAACTAAACCAGAACTAAACCAGGACTAAACCAGGACTAAACCAGAACTAAACCAGGACTAAACCAGAACTAAACCAGAACTAAACCAGACTAAACCAGAACTAAACCAGAACTAAACCAGGACTAAACCAGGACTAAACCAGACTAAACCAGAAACTAAACCAGGACTAAACCAGAACTAAACCAGACTAAACCAGAACTAAACCAGAACTAAACCAGACTAAACCAGGACTAAACCAGAACTAAACCAGGACTAAACCAGAACTAAACCAGGACTAAACCAGAACTAAACCAGGACTAAACCAGAACTAAACCAGACTAAACCAGAACTAAACCAGACTAAACCAGAACTAAACCAGGACTAAACCAGGACTAAACAGAACTAAACCAGGACTAAACCAGAACTAAACCAGAACTAAACCAGGACTAAACCAGGACTAAACCAGAACTAAACCAGAACTAAACCAGGACTAAACCAGAACTAAACCAGGACTAAACCAGACTAAACAGAACTAAACCAGAACTAAACCAGAACTAAACCAGGACTAAACCAGAACTAAACCAGACTAAACCAGGAACTAAACCAGGACTAAACCAGAACTAAACCAGACTAAACCAAACTAAACCAGGACTAAACCAGACTAAACCAGAACTAAACCAGGACTAAACCAGGAATTAAACCAGGACTAAACCAGAACTAAACCAGACTAAACCAGACTAAACCAGAACTAAACCAGGACTAAACCAGGACTAAACCAGAAACTAAACCAGGACTAAACCAGAACTAAACCAGGACTAAACCAGAACTAAACCAGGACTAAACCAGAACTAAACCAGGACTAAACCAGAACTAAACCAGGACTAAACCAGAACTAAACCAGGACTAAACCAGAACTAAACCAGGACTAAACCAGAACTAAACCAGACTAAACCAGGACTAAACCAGGAACTAAACCAGACTAAACCAGAACTAAACCAGGACTAAACCACTAAACCAGGACTAAACCAGAACTAAACCAGGACTAAACCAGACTAAACCAGGACTAAACCAGGACTAAACCAGGACTAAACCAGGACTAAACCAGAACTAAACCAGGACTAAACCAGAACTAAACAGGACTAAACCAGAACTAAACCAGGACTAAACCAGAAACTAAACCAGACTAAACCAGAACTAAACCAGGACTAAACCAGACT